AATTTAAAAATCATGGCTTTTGACTACGTATTCTCATTTTCTCTCTGTTTTTTTAGGCTCCACCGAAACAAAAAGGCCTCCTTTCTATTCATCGCCCCTGAAATCGACGTATTCTCATTCTTTATATTTTTTGGACCTATGAAAGATGCAATAATCTTTTATTTATTTTTATTTAATTTTTTAAGACTAAGAAATAGTGAGAATTGTTTAAAAAATATAAACGAAACATACACCTGATCGATAACATGCGCATTAGTATAACACATACCTACATACCTAGATTAATATAACAGATGCATAAATAAATTTTTTTAGTTATTATCATTAATGTTTATTTTTATCTTATTAAAAATCTATGTTGTTATAAGGGCATTATTAGAAAATGAGATTCCATTCTCACTTGTGAACTAGTGATACCAAACATGTGAATGAGAATTAGATTTTCATTCTAGCTTAATTCTACAAACGCACCCAAACAAGAGAATGGGAATGACCATTCCATTCTCACATACATTCCATTCCATTCCTTCTTCCATTCCATTCTCACTTGACTTCATTCCCACGTACCAAACGAGGCGTGAGAGTTCATACTCTGACCTCCCATATGATTCATTGTTCATTGTCAATTCTCGTACATGACACCATCGAAGAAATTCTGTAAATGATCATCTCTGTAATATATTTGGGTGCACATATTAGTTAAATTTTTTTTGGGTATTTGATCTCATCTAATATATTCTGTAATGAATCCACGTGATTGATTGCAATAAATAACTATGTAAAGATTGACAATTAAAGGTAGTTTCTATAGATATATACGACTCTTTTTTTAATGGAAAAATGGGGCGACTAGCCCTATTCAAAATGTATTAATATAAACAGCTCTCTAATAAACAAGTAGATATATTATATATAATTTATGAACTCCTCTGCGAAACATGCATAAGGAGAGGTCTTTGACGTCATTTATCACATAGCATTAAGGGAGTCTAAGAAACTTGTATAACTACTTAATTTGTTTTAAATCTTAAAATAATGATCAAAAGAGCAAAGAGCATAAGTTCATTGCCGACACGCCCCATCACTTAGCCTTCACTGCAACCATTCATAGAAAAAAGAAACAAACACAAAATCAAATTTGAAAAATAGAAGAAAACAAGGTATAAACATTGGGATAAAAGAAAAACATTGGGTATGTTAGTAAAAAAAAATCTGTGAGAAGTTTGAGACCTTAAAATAAAATGGGGTAGAACTTTGAGTGGAGTATTTGAGGTTCGAGAATGATGTTGCAAAAACATATTGTTTTAATAGTAAAAGGTGGTAAAACTTTAGGTTTATAGGGGGAAAAAACACATTTTCCTGGAAGCGGGTGTGTTTAATGAATGAGATAGAATTTAGGGCCTATAGGAAAAAAAAAATAGGCTTATTATATAGCTAATTATATGTAAAGTAAATAATTGAATAATCATATTACTAATGCATGTGTATTTTCATTTTATTATTATTATTATATATGTGTATGTTCTTTTTATATCAGATGCATGTATATGTTAATACAATTCCATATTTGAGATTTTGAAAAGATTGTTTTTGAATTTTTTATAAGATGGACATAAGATCAGAGGGTCAGGATCAAAAAGAAATATCTCAATGTCTAAGAAGTGTGAGACATACAAGAGCAGGATGGATTATATGACATGAACTGAACCAGAGGCTAAGCAATTGCTTAGACAGTTAGAGGAGGAAGTTAAGAACGAGAATAAGCAAGCAAATGGTAGTTTTAAAAAGCATGTGATTCTGAGAAATGTGATACCCCCTCTAGTTGAAAATTTTGGAAAAGATTTTAGATATAATCATGTAATGACAAGATAAAGCAATAAAAGAGAAAAATTACACTTGTGGAGATATTGATGAAGAATAACTTTGATTTTGGTTGGGACCCTAGCACGTAGAAATTTACTTGTCCCAACTAAGTGTGGAATGACATTTTAGAGGTTGATTTATGTCATGTTATTTCATATATATTAACTTGAACATAATATTACTTATTTTCATATATAATATGTTGTAGGCCCATCCTTATACTCCAAATCTCAAGGATAAACTGTTTGAGGATTTTGAGGATATACAGATGGTATGCGGAGACCATGGCGCTTCTGGCAGAGGAGTTATATGTTTAGGTCCTGATGGCTTGGATGAAGCACGCTTAGAGGAAGTGGTTAGGGAGGGCATATTTGGTGTTGTTGTTGAGGTGGAATCTCCAAATGGAGGAGATGCTACTATAGATATTCAACTTGCTACCGCCGTCCCCACTGACAGTGTGCCATTTTTTGGTTCTAGACCATCCACTTTGAATAATGGTAAACGAAGACATAGGTCAATTGGTACTATAGTCACGTCCTCTGCATCTTCCCAGTTATCATTGCAAGATGTAGGAGAGAGAGTTGTCACTGTAGGTAAAACTTTTCATGAGTTAGTTATGAGTTGAGGAAGATAAGAAAGGGTTGGAGTAAAGAATGAATTGATGTTGTTATGTCTACTTCTGAATTGACTAAGCCACAAAAATAGAATACACTCGGTGACAGTATCCCACAGGACATGAAGGATGCTTTTGTTGACATGGATGCAAAATACCGCTATGAGTTTCTACATTTTAAGTTGACCGGTGAGATAATGAAAGATGGTGAGGATAGGACCCAAGCAAATTCTGATCCAAAATGGTGCATATTATGATTCTAATTTCTTTGGAGATGTTTAGGGGCGATAGTTTAGGAGTTTAGGATATTCCTATGTTTTTTGAGATTTGTTATGGTGTTAGGATTATATGGAATTTTATATTGTAAAACTATCATTGAGTAGATAGAACTTAGGATAATGTCATGTTTTTTTTTTTGAGATTTGGAAATTAAGTATTTGTTTATGTTTTGTTATTACGTTATTTGACTTATTAGTTGTCTTAGTTTGATGCATTTAATGGATGAAGTTTCTCTATGTATCGTCCTAACAAATGATTCTCGTATGTCGTGTAGATGAGAGTAGTGCAATATTATATTTTTCTTCTATTTTCAATACTTTGGTGATTAATGATTAGCATACAGCACCAAAATTAATTATTGATTGCTACTTGATGTAGAGAGAATGAACATCTGCCAATTTTTTCACTAATTTTTCACTACTACATGTTCATTTACAGTCAACTTTTTTGATAAAATTAACTATATACATTTAAATATTATCAGTCTCCTTGTGTGCAAGTAATAAAGTGCTTTATTTATTTTCTATGCGCATAAGTTTCATGTAAATTGATTCTATCTCATTGGTTATATTAATTAATAGGATGGAGGAAGATCAAATTTTGCCCATTTATATTTTCATCATGAGGACTTCGATAATAATCGTTTGATTTACATAATCGGATTAGATGCTAACTGGAGCTTATAGCAAATATGCTTAGTTTCTGATGTCCTCGACGTGGTATTACAGATCTTGGTCTCACATACTTGCAGTCCAAGATGGATAATCATCCACAAGATTTTCGTAATATTTACAACATTTACCCAGATTGCTTTATGAAGTTATGCAATATCTTGAGAGAGCGAGACCATATATAAGACACAGACCACATTAGTGTTGAGGAGATGATTGCTATTTTTCTTCTCACAGTTAGTCAGAATCAATGATACTCTGTTGCGACTGATAGATTTGATCGTTCAAAATGGACTATCAGTGTATGTTTTAATAAAGCATTATATGCTTTGGTATCTTTAACATCATGTTTGACGACATCACCCTTACTGATCAACCTGATAAGGTTAAACCAGAATCTCGCTTTTGGCCTTATTTCAAGTTATTCTTATTCCTCAAGATTTTACACACAAGTAGAAGCACAACGTGCACGCACGCATGTGTGCCCACACACACACATCTCACTTGAGATGGTCTGACACATTGATTATCCAGGCCTGTATCGTTGCAATAGATGAGACTCATATACCATGCACGGTGTATAACATAAATTGTTGGCCTTCTTGTTTTGATGATGTTTAACAAACAATTTGCGACTAATGTTATGTGTCTAGTGTTTGTGGTTTTTTTATTTATTGTAGACAAACAACACGTTAGAGGTTGGATGGAATTGCGTCATACCGATCATATCAAATGAAGGTTGGCAGAAATAGTGGATTGAAACCATTTGTAATTGAAGACATATAAATGATCAAGATTCGTCTGTGTTACCAAGATCGAGCGTCATGAATATCAGTTGCTTGGGTTAATAGTTTAGATTTTATATTATGTGTGTTAGATACTCTAAGCTCAATATCATATACACACATACACATTTTAGTTATATATATATACATGAGAAAAACTTATGTCAACTTAAGTGGACGTCCACTAAGTTTCTTAGTTATTGATGATCAATTGATTGACATACATTGTGGATAATCCGCTCCATTGAACTTGATCTACATATTCTAAAACCCCAACACACAAAATTTGGGGTGAACCTGTCGCGCTTTGACCCTTCATCCACTCGTATCAATTTTAATGGTTTCGAATGAATACATTATCCTACTAAATTATTCCACTTCAAAAATTATCCATCATTGTTCCACTAAATTATCCCAATGTCAAAAAATTAGCCCACTTTACCAATTATCCTAGTTCAACTTTAAAAGCTGTAGATGACCAAGCCCCGAAGCAATTATGTTCGTCACTGTGAAAAGGAATTGTTTCGATCGATCGGTGCGGGTTGGAAAAGTTGTTTCGGTCGATCAGTGCGGGTTGGAGCTTTTCCAACCCGACCCGAACCGATGAGATTATGAAACCGCACTGAACCGTTTAAAGTCGGGCGGTTCAGTCGGTTTTATCGCTTTGAACCAAACTTTGCTCAGCCGCTATTAGCTGAACTAGCATGGTTCTTCTATTTATATTTATAACTTAATTTTGCATAAACAATTCAGTTTCAATCAAAAGCTGCTGAGTAGAGAGAGAGAGAGAGAGAGAGAGAGAGAGAGAGGGGAAGAGCTTTCGGTATTTCGTAGTTCAGTCCTTGTTCGCATTACAGTTGGTTCGGTCCCGGCCCAATCAAAGGGGATCCGCAAAAAATTACCCCTCCCCTCCCTCTCCATCTCGATCCGTGCGAAATCAAAACGCAGTTTTAATTTACTCTCTAGAAAGTTTCGTCACAGTAACGGAGGCTCAAATCGAAATCAATACATCAAATCTAGGGTTTCACTTTCAGCAACTCCCTCGAATCATCGCAGACAAAAGCCATTAACGCCATTAATGCTGGTCCCTCGAAGCTTTTTTTTATTTATTAACCAGACCCGACTAAACCTAGGGTTTCTGCTTCTCGGCCTCATCTTATGAGAGCAATAATGGCGGTTCTTGACCCTAAAAAGGCGATCTACTCGGTATCGATCCCTAAATCGCTGCTGCTGGGATCGGTGCTGTTTGCTCTCGGTTTGATTTCTTTGTTTACGGGTCACATTGCGTCTGATATCGAGTGGGCGCAGCTTAGACGACGGTGGCAGCCGAGGAATCGGGTACATTATTATTATTATCTGTCGTTTATGTCATTTATGTCGTTGATGTGAGCGTAGCTTTCTCTTTTGTAAAAAAAGGTAATTTTTTTTTGAAGTAAAGGAGTGAAAAGAAGAGGAACAGGATAAGGAAACTTAGCAGGGAGTGGTTTTACTTAGTTATTCATTCCTTAACTAAACGGGGTGTCAAATTTTGGTTTATAAGAGATTTGGGTTCAACCAACTAGCTTTTAGGAATGAGTTGCAAGCCAGCAACGTGGGTAGTGGTGCCGATGGTAGATTGTTTGCGGGGGACTAGTCTAGTGCAAAGACAATGGGATGATCAGAATTGCAGTGTTTGAATGGAAATAGACAAAGCTGGCTTGAAGCTATGTCGTATCCTAGGTATCCGTTTGACCCACATTGACAAAGTGGGGAATCAAATGTGGATTCACAAGAAATTTGGGTTCTACTAGCTCATAGGGATGAGTTGCAAGTGAGCGACATAGGCGGTGATGCCTGACAATGGAGTGTTCTCTAGGTATTGATCTTGTGCAAAGTAAAAGGGGAGATGTCAAGATTGCAGTGTTTGACTGTGACTAGAAAAAGTCAGTCTACACAGGCATTGGGATTGTAGAAGCGTGGCGGTATTTTAGGGCCCCTTAAATCCCACATTGACTAAGTTGGGATTCAATTGTTGGTTTATGAGAGAATTGGGTTCCCTCCCTCCGACACGTAACCAATTGTTACTCAGGCGTGTCGTTTTGGATGCTGTGTCCGTGAACGAACTCTTTGCGGACACGCCATGGACACGTGTGGTTCAGAGCAAAACCCGACTTCCCCATTACTTATACCCTAAACTAGTTTCTTTGGTAATATTGGGTTAAAAAACAGTTGGTTTTTGAACCCGTAAACTGAAACATGTTACTTAGATATTTGAAAAATACCCATCGTATTATCTCTTGCGATCAAAACTAAACTTTTGTTGTTAAACCTTATTCTTATTTTGATTTAACTTGATTCTTAATTGTTATAGATAATAGAAAGAAATATACAAATGTTATAGGTATTTTAATTCAATATTTTGTAATATATATGTATTTGTAATATATATAGTATTTTTTAATATATATATGTATTTTGTAATATATATAGTGTCCTCATACCCTAAATTTTACAAATTTGCTGTTCGTGTCCGCACCCGTATCTGTGCTACCCAACCCCTAACTTTTAGGGTGTTACTTGCGCCAGACTCCTGTATTTCCTTCTTTTTTTATCAGATATGCTCGCACTTGAAGTTTATAAAATTAATAATTTACCAAAGTCATTAATTCATGTTTTTACCCACTAGGGACTAGTGACTAGAGAGTATTGTCTCAGGGGCTCTCTATATATGGTGGAAAACACGACAGCTCCTACTCATTGCGGATCTATGGCTCTTAATCCGCTATTTACCATATTTAACAAGTAAAAATCTTCTGAACTAATGATAAAATGACTTTTTTCCAAAATCTAGAAAAAAAGTGTTAAAAATATTCCACTTCCAAATCAAATTGAATCAATTTTTTCTGCTTGCGCTTAATGCTTGTGAGGGGATCCTATGACTTATCAGTCACGACCACAACCACAATAAAACTGTTGTATAATTAATGTTAAAAAAACTACAAATGGGTACATAGTGCTATATTTCAAGGAAACAGGATTTAAGGGGGCATAGAAACTGATAAAACCTGAGTATTGGTAGATTATAGTATTCATGATAAATCTTAGGGAAGTAGGGAGGACCACAAATGTGAATTGTCAAAAGGATCTATAACAACTCTGAATGCTAGATGCCAAATTTGTAAAATTGAAATGTATGATTAAACCAAGAATAGAAACTTGAGGGAGAACAGTATTGATGTTGTCATAATTTACTTCTGATGATGCTTCTGCTTCAAAATGTAGGTTGTAAACTGGTGTGCAGTTTGTGCATGTTTTCCAATTTTCTGCATTCTTCAAATAATGCTTTCCGTATGTGATGAGATAATCATTTGCTTAGTTTAGCATGTACAAACTTGTCATTTTCACTTAGTGGAGGACATATCATCTTGACATTAATTTCGCATGATGTATTATTGCATTAGATATATAAATATTATATGATATGACTCGGATATACCATGATTTCGACGCACTCATTCTGTAATCTTTATCTCATGTATGATATATTTTACTGTATGATTGGGATTTGATTTATGCTGCATTGCATATTACTTTTACTACTGACTAAGTGCAAAGAAGCAATTTGTAAATGATAAAATCCTTTGCTTTGTTTATTACATTTTTTAAAGTTGCAAATGCATTAAATGCACTGCCAAATGATTTTCTTGGGATTCTACGGAGGCAAGAAGCAGAGTTTTATTGAGATAAAACCTCTTCAAGATATTCTTATCAATTCAACTTCTACAAGGTAATGACATCACGTGGTATGTAGGAAGTTTCTAAAGAGGATGTAAGATGATGCTACGTACTGCACATGGTATAACTAATCAAAATCAGCTACATAATTATAAACTGATGAAAATGCTACTGTTACTAAATCTAGTTTCCATTCTTTGAGCTGTTCTATTCGAATCATTATGGTTGAATCCATTAATTTAAAGCTATTGACAGGTAGTCTATCGAGAACCGGTTGATATATGGAAATCGGAAGTTTCAAATCTCTACTATGGTTGTAGTGATAGAGGCCCCAACTTCGGAAGTAAGTACTCCAAATATTTAATCATCTTTAAGATATACTTTGATAGATTTATCAACTTAAATGCCGGTCTTCTTTTAGATGTCGCTCAGCTATTTTATTGTTTCTTTTCCTTTTCTTTTCTTTTGTCGAAGAACATTTGTTATTTATCGATTCATGTATTTTCCTTTTTGGTGTCACTGAGTCCATACTATGTCATTTCTTTGATTTAATATAATCGTCTTTCCTTTCTTGCTGGGAATCATTTAGTTAGTAATACATGTAAATACTCTATGAAGAAACTGACGAAGGAGTTAATGCATAAGAATGCATGCTATTTTGCTAGTTGGTGACTCTTAATAATTACCAATGCTTTCTACTATGCAAACAATTTTAGCTTCTTCCTGTATTGTAGTTTCCAACTTGTGCTATTCTATTGGATACTGACCAATTCCTTATTTGTAAATAGTTATAAAACTTCCATGTTTCTATTTATGTTAACATTAAATTCCTTTTCTTCCTTTATCTTATGTAAGTGGCAGGGATGGGATTATAAAACTCGCATCTGCATGATCTTATTAAGAAAGAACAAATTTGAGGCACCTTAAAGGGGAATATACAGTTCTCATTTGCCAGAAAAGCATACGTAGGTCAAGTCATGGAATAGGAAAGGCATTTTGCCCAAACAATGTAAATTAATTTCATTTACATAAGAAATATCATCCACGCTATTGTAAAAATTTATTGAAATAAATTTACTCATTTCAGGAATCTTTTTTAGTTGTAATGCCTTTGCATCTCTGT